TTTTCACTTATTGCGGGGCTTCAGGGTATGGATCCCCTGCGATAAACAAGGGACAACTGTATTTCTTTTATTTTATAAATGTGTGTGTGTGGGGTGGGGGGGGGGGACGTGTTGGTTTAAAGAAGAAAACGGGAGAAACATAAATGGAACCTTGTAGAATATTATATGGTTTGCACATTTTGTCACATCACAAGCGTACATCTCAGTTCAGGATTGACCTGTATTTATCTCCATCCACCTTCCATCACCTCTGACCTTCTTCCTGTCCCTGCTGAGGAAAAGCATTTTCACAGCATGATGCTGCCTCCACCATGTTTCTCAGTGGGGCAGATGTGTTTGGGATGATGTGCACTCTTAGTTTTCTACCACATGAAGCATTTTCCATTTCAGATGACCAGTTCAGTTTTGGTCTCTTCTTCTCAGAGCACCTTCTTCCACATGTTTAGCGTGACTTTTCACAAACTGTTTAGGTGAATGGCCATGTCTTGGTAGGATTTCAGTTGTACTAAACTCTTTTTTTCAGATGGTGGATTAAACAGTGCTCTGTGAGAGTTCACGGCTTGGTGTTTACAACCTAAACCTGCGTTTAAGAACTCCATCTCTGACCTATCTGGTGTGTTCCTTGGTCTTCGTGATGCTGCCTGATCACTGATGTCTGAGAGCTTCACAGAACAGCTGGATTTACACTGAGTGTGAATGGCACACATGTGCACTTCAACTAATCTGTTAGGTGACTTCTGAAGACAGTTGGTTGCTCTGGATTTTAGTTGGGGTCTCGGAGTAAAAGGAGCTACAAACAAATGCAAGCCAGACTTTTTAGACGTTTATTTGAATGAAAATTTGAAAACCACGTTTCGTTTTTCATCTACTTCACAATCAGGCTCTTTATGTTGGTCTGTCACATGAACTCCTAATAAACTCCTTTGAAGTTTGCAGTTGTAACGTGGACAACTTTATCAAAGATAAAAATGAGAACGTGAGCGCTTACCCCTGAACCACAGAAGCGACCCAGCCGGTGTGAACTTGCATCGTATCCATTATACAGCTCGATGTAGTCATAACCACAGTCAGCTTCTTCCTCCACCTCAAACGTTACGAAGCTGAGCTCAATGCCGTAGCCCTGCTCAGTGGTCAGCAGCCACTCACAGTCTGTGTGACCTGGGTAATTATTATCCCCAAACTGGGCGTGGGAGTAAAGGTTTTTCTGACGGGCTTCTGCTTTCAGACGACCTCCACACTCTAAAATGAACACAGATGTGTGAAAACCTTACTTTGATGTGCAAATTTGTACAAAAGCCTAAAGATTTTTCATGATTCACTGAATTTTTTTTAATCATGCACTTGCTACAAATGAACCACTAGAGGGGAATGTTACTCTTAAGAAAGACGGACGTGGGAACTGGTGACTGAGTGATGCACTTCACAAACAGCCTTTCCATGTTGAGATATGTGTTTCTATACGGGTACAGACCTGTGGAGTGAGTCGCTTGGAAACCCTTTCGTTGTACAGAGGCATCTGAAATGAAGCGGAGGTACATCTTGTTCCCCGTGGAGACCAGAGGTTCGGGGATCTTACTGCCGCACAGTCGGCTCAGAATGGCTGCTGTGTCGCTGTCCCCATCGAAGGCCTCCAGGTGGTCGTAAGCACATTCCTGATGCTGCTCAATCTCAAACTCATTGAAGGCCTAGGGTGGAGGCACAACTTGGTGAGTTTTCAGACAAGTTATACTCATAAGACTTCATCAGTTACTGCATTTAAAGGTCTCATGAATTTCACTTTAAATTTCAACTTTAGCATTTTCATATTTCCAAGCTGCAGGGAAGGGATGGGCGTCAAAGCAAATAACCAGGTCTATGAGCAGGTCTTAATCTTCTGGACCTCTCTAAGACCAGAGCGGGATGCAGCAATGCGCAAGCCTCGATTCACTTAAATAAATAAAAAATGTGGATGCCCTAATGTCTTTCTTGTTTTATTGCTTGAAATTTCACTAGAAGTAATCATTTTGGAGATGCTGGAGCAGAGCAGATTCAAAGAAAAAATGAATTAGGATATAGAAAGAATGTTTGTAACAACCTTTTCTGAATAATGCCTTTAAAGTGATTTATCTTGTACCTCTGATTTCTAAGCATTGCAACAAGCCCAGGTGAGTCACAGACCTAAACGTCAAGGATTTCTCTTGTTTATGAAGGTTTCTGTGTGGTCGTCTGTCTTAAAATATTTGATGAACCACCACAAAATGTTTAACGAAACTCTCAGACAGTAATCATTGGGCGTACATCTACACCAGTCTGGAGTTAATTCAGTTCAAGGTGGCCCTCACAGCTACACAACATTTGCAAACACAAAAATGGCAATCTCAGTCAATTTTAATCATACTGAGTGAAAACTGAATGTGGTAGTAACTGAGCATCATTGCTAACACATCTCATGAAAATTCTGCATGAGATTATGATGAAATCTTGCAACTTGTGGAAAAAAACGAGGCAGCACACGACACCTTTTAAAGCCCCTGTGTTTAAGGGATACAACGTTTTAAAATAAATCAGTTATTTTTATGTAATTTAGTTTAGATTTGCACATCTCATCATTGTTGGCTGACGTGTTCATTCTGACTTTCAGCTGCAATATGTCATTGTGTCACCAGTCAAGTTAACATGAGTTGAGCCCAAACACCTTGCAGGCCTTTTAAAAAGTTACAAAACCATCTGTAAAGAGTTTGGACTCCACCAATCCACAGTCACACAGACTGTGTTCAAATGGAGAAAATTTAAGACCATTGTTCTCCTCCCCAGGAGTGGTGGACCAACAAAGATCACTCCAAGAGCAAGAAGTGTAATAGTGTGCGAGTTCACAAAGGACTCCAGGGTAACTTCTAACAACTGAAGGTCTCTCTCACATTGACTGATGTTGATGTTCATGAGTCCACCATCAGGAGAACTCTGAACAACAGTGCAGGGCAGCAAGGAGGAAGCCACTGCTCTCCAAAAAGAACATTGCTGCTCGTCTGCAGTTTGCTAAAGATCACGTGGACACGCCAGAAGACTGTTGGAAGAATGTTTTGTGGACAGATGAGACCTAAACAGAACTTTTTGGTTTAAATGAAAAGTGCTATGTTTGGAGAAAGGAAAACTCTGCATTCCTGCATGAGAACCTTATTCATCTGTGAAACATGGTGGTGATAGTATCAGGGTTTGGGCTTGTTTTGTTACATCTGGACCAGGACGGCTTGTCATCATTGATGGAACAATGAATTCTGAATTATATCAGAGAATTCTAAAGGAAAATGTCAGAACATCTGTCCGTGAACTGTATCTCAAGAAAAAGTGGGTCATGCATCAAGACAATGTCTCTAAACACACTAGTGGTTCTACCAAAGAATGGTTCAAGAACAATAAAGTTCATGTTTTGGAATGGCCAAGTCAAAGTCCTGACCTTAATCCAATCCAGATGTTGTGGAAGGACCTGAAGCAGCAGTTAATGTGAGGAAACCACCAACATCCCAGAGTTGAAGTTGTTCTGTACGGAGGAATGGACTAAAAGTCCTCTAAGCTGTGCAGGACTGATCAACAGTTACTGGAAACATTTAATTGCAGTTATTGCTGCACGGGGGGGGGGGGGGGGGGGGGGC